CGGCGTCCACGTCAGCATGCACAGGCTGGGCCCAGGGATACCTGGCGGCCCAGGCAATCTGCCATCTGTGGGGATTTTCCTTCTGCTTGTCCCGCCATGCACCGTCGCTCATGCCCTTGCGGATGCGCTGTGTCTGAGCCCGCTTGGCACTGCGAGCACTCGGGTTGGGCGCCTCGCCGCATTCGTTGTTGTCAAGCTGATTGGGTGACAGCTTGCGCTTATGCTGATCACAACCGCCATGGAAGGCAGGGGTAATGGCGCCCGTGTCATCGGTCGCCGCTGGCAGCAACATTGCCGATGCATTACCGACAACAGCACCGCCGTCCCAAACGCCTTTATCAGGAAAAAATTTAGACTTATCTTGCTGTTTTTGTGTTTGTTAGGCGTTCAAGTCGTTGCCTTTTGCGTGTTTGTCTATGGAAGGACCGGTCATACATTCTGCTATGCCGCGTTGACTCACGGGCTTGACCTTCTTACGGCCCCTCATATCTATTTTATGATCGATAATACTAAGTTCTGCACACTACGGAGCAATCTGGCAGCAATGGACGTTTTTGGCTGAAGGAATGAAAATGTACGGATCGGCCTCACTTTGTTCCTTATTTCCAAAGGCCAAAAAGGCTTCTTTATTCCTTAAAAGTAATATATTACTTAAAAAAAAACACTGTACATACATACATACATACATACATACATATGCACATAAACACCATACAGAGCCAGCCCGCCAGCCTTGCACACAGGCACATCTCTGCATCACCACCACCACCACCAACAACAACAACGGCCCCATGGGGACCTCCACACACCGCCGCCATGCACTAAAACACCCGCACTCGCCTGATGTACGAGAGCTGTACGGGTGCTGTACGCGTCTCCATCCGAACGCTCAATCTAACGTAAAATTCCAGCCTCTACAACCCCAGTCGTCCAAAGAGCCTTCATTTACATTATTGGAAATAATTATCTAGTTATTATCTCTTCTACAATCTTCCTTCACCTCACGGCCTCAAGCCGGTGATTTGCGTCACCTGCCTTAGCTGCTCCATGAAGGCCAACAAGTGGGTCGAGGTGATGGCGTCGGAGCCGGGGTACGGCTTGCCGTGGTACGACAGCGCCCAGCCACACCCAGCACGGAGCCGCCCTGAGAGTTCCTCCACCCAGCGAGTCTGCTGCAGCACTCTGATGCACGCGGTCGACACGGTGGCGAGACTCAGCATGTCTGCCCGACCCGCCTCGATCTCCCTTTGCGCGGCGACCAGGGCCTCCACCTTCAAGAGGGGGCGCCCGAGCCGGGGGGAGATGTGGGGGAGAGGGCGACATTGAGGGGGGAATATGAGGTCGGGGATATAATGCAAAACAAAATTGCGCGACTGATGTTATCAACATAAACACCTTATCCACATAAACACATACAAACGTACATTCCAACGCGTGCGCCTCGCGGTTCAGGTTCATTCTACAAGCATACAAAGACATACAAAGACATACAAAGACATACAAAGACAGACAGACATACAGACAGATATACCTGCGCCTCGCGCCCCAGCACCGCCACTGCCGCCTGTTCCCACATCTCCAGGTTCCTGGCGAACTGCAGCGCCCGATCCCGCCCCGTGAAGGTGAGTACGATATCCAGCTGCTGCGGAGGAGGTACATCCAGCAACGACCACAACCGCTCCAACCGACAACGGACATAGGTACCCGCGTCCATATTGATTGGAGGCAGCGGAGGTAGCGGCAGTAGCCCCTCCGGCGGCTGGTCGGGGGTGTTCGACTCCACAGCTGCGGGGCGGGGGAGAGGCGGAGGGTGTCCCGGGGGTCGCGTGTACAGCAGCGTGTGTTTGTGTGTCAGGGGACAACAGCGACAAAACGTGTGTGGACGGCATGTGTTTTTCACTCCAGTGAGGAAGCATTACCAAGCGGGTAATATCCACTAAATCCTCCCCCCCCCCGACCCCACCGGGGCCCACCAAGGGGCCGCCAGCCCTCACCAAGTAGCTCGGATCGGAATTTGGACATCCACTCTTCGTCAATAAACGTCCCGGCGCGGCGGGAAGGACCTCCACCGCCGCCGCCGCCAGGGCCTCCGCTGCCCAGCGGCGGAGCCGCTGTACGACCACGTAGATTGCCCGCCAGCACAGGCGCCGGCGGCGACCATCTAGGTTCCCTGGCCGCGGAGTCTGGGGAGGCGTGACGGCGCAGGTGCTCCAAATGCGCCGCCTCCGCGTCCTCAGTGACTCGCGTGGCGGCAGCGCCCGACACGGAGGCGGAGGCCGAGGCGGAGGAGCCCGCTGGGCCGCCGGCGGAGGCGGCGGTGGGATCCGCGGCGGCGGAGAGCTGCCCTCCCGCTGACGTGGCGCGGTGCTTGACGGAAACGTACGACGGCCAAATGCCGGAGCCGGCACTGCCTTCAGGCTCTGCGCCGTCAGGGTCGGTGGTTGCGTCATCACCGTTGGCGGTGGTTGCGCTTGCGGTTGTGTTGGTTGGCTCGCTGGTCAGGGTCCTCGCGCTGTCGCCTCCGTCCATGCGCCCGCCCCCGCCAATCCCCGGCCCCGCCAGTGCGCCCGCGGGCAGGTTGAGGGAGGCGACGGTGGACTTGGCGCGGGCACGTCGGTGCGTGCTGCGACGACGCCTGTGTTTGTGCCGTACATTGTGGGGGTAGATTGTGGTAGG